ACATTTGCAAAGTGGACAGTGTTTGTTTTGGAAAATCCATATGTGAAGGTTTGGGTGAGTGCTATCGGCTCCTGCTGCCAGAGGAGAGTTGTAGTGACCCTGAGAAAACGGCAAATAAGACGGGGACACTCCAATTCAAGTTCAATTCTGTGGTTTTTGTGTCAATACAGGCTGAACTCCAGGGACCTGGGGGAATCCAGAGCAGGGGTTACTTCCTCTATCGGGTATGAACAAGTTTATCTCAGGAAATAAAAAGATTTTTTAAAATTCCACTGGATAATATGATGAACATAAAAAAAAAAAACTTGTTTTGCACTTCCAGCCACGAAATGGAAGACGATCCTTAGAATATGAGTAAATTAAAGGTAATATTCTATTTTTACTTTTTGGCAACTCAACATCCATGGATGTAGTCTTAAATACACATGTTACAATGACATTTGAAAGCTTAAGGGACTGTATAAAAATTATTAGGAACAGAGGCGTTTTGGAAAATGGGAGAGTATTGAAAAGGCGAGTTTGGGTTATTTTAGAGAACAGGGGAGGGTTGGTTTTTTTTACCTCAGCTTTTTGTTTCAGGCTTCCCCTTCCTGGTAGAGCGCTTACAAGGCATTAGGGCTGAGTCCTCACTGTAGCTTTGCTGAATATCATCCCATCTCTTTCCCCTGCCTTTCCTGTCTCTGTCTGCTCTCTTTTTTGGGGCAGAAATGCCCCAAAAAACCACAAAAGGTTTACCCCCCACACCTCAGTAATTTTCATACAGTCCCTAATTGCCATTGAAATTCTGTCATTATCCTAATGGCAGCTGTGATTGAACTATAAGGAACTATCGGCTGCTAGCGCCATGTTTATACATGGGGTTACAATATCATCTAATCATCATCTAATCATGTGTATTGTGTGGTAGAGTCTCCACCACTGAAGCTTAGTGTACAGAGACAACAAAGACCCCGAGACCCGATCTGCTACACCACACCTGAGTGATCCAGACTTCAACCACAGCCCACCTCCACTGCTGTATAGTGATGTCTGAATGTACACAAAGAATATGATTAAAGTACTATTAATTTGTCCAGATTTTATTTTGTGTTATATGTTTGTCATTTGCATTTCAACTGCTATAATGTGGTGTGGTGTAGTTGTGTAAGTTTGACTTGCTATGTATTATAATTAAGACTCTTTCACAGCATTTGAAAAAAAAGTGTAAAATATGTAATGTATGCATGAATGAATGCAGATACATACAACATCAAATGTATTTGAAAGAAAAAAAACTTACACATATTGTTTACAGTACAGCTTTAAATTGTCACAATTAAGATAAAATAAGAACAGCACCTTTTGAATTTGTGTCCTGTCATTCAAAGCCATATACTCATGGTAGAATATTAAGATTGATCATATTTTTGACACTATTAGTTGGTTTCTCTACATTTTTGAATTTACAGATTAATTTTCATTTTTCTTTCTTCCTTCAATTTTATATTTTCTCCCCTGAATATGCAATTACTGTTAACAACAGTAGATGTCACCATCATCCGCCAGATAAAGTGGAAATTTCTTTCTGCCATTAAACATCTGTGATTTCAGTTGAATTTATAAATAAAACAAGATGGGACGAGGCAAGGTTTTTTACTGTGGCTTATAGTTGGTAAAACTATGTTTTCATTTTCAGCATGGATCACCTTTACAGGCATAATAAGATAAATCCTAAAATGAGTAGTGAGATTCTTCAGCTGATTGTATGATAATTCTGACATCAACCTGACAAGCTAATAAAACCGTGACATATGTATTTTGCTTGCAAATGTGACAGAATAAAAAGCTCCAAACAGATACAAAAAGGTTCAACAGAGTTGAATAATTAGTATTCTGTGTGTTGCTCTCAGTATCAACATGGCCGGAGCTCTTTAATGGTTCAGCTGCACCACACACACACACACACACACACACACACACACACACACACTGAAAAAATGTGAATATTTTACAGAACTGAATACTTGGCTGTGTCTCAGTGTCCTCAAGATGGATCCACGATGTAGTGCTTGCATCCAGCCATAAAGAGTGATTTCACCACAAACAATAGCCTACATTTATATAAGCTGTTTTCACAGTAAAGTTTTAATTAGTTTGGGAGCCTTTAGATCTTCGAACAGAACAAGCTACTGTGTAAAATACTACAGAACCTCTGGCTAATTCATTAAAATAAAACACCACTGCAACACTTCATGTTGGACTTGAATAAATAAATGAGGCTAACTTTGGGGTTAACTCAAATTGTGACTCACATTACCTGAGAACACAATTTAAAGGATATTGTGTCACAACTGGAGTAAAATATTTCCGACCATTTTGGCCATTTGGCACCCCGCTGAGGAGATATGAACATGTGAGCATAAAATCATATAATCATCATTTGCAGGTCTCATATTTTAGGACAGTTTTTATTACTGTACTGAAAAAAACAAGTGGATTAGGCCTGTTTGGTAATTTTCTCTTTGCTGCCTCAGGATTACCTCTGGTGATTTGCTGCATCTTAAATCCATGACATAAAATCAACATTTTAAGGTGGCTTGCAGGGGAAGCACCGGATGCTTCCAAACCTTCACACATTGTCAGTGAATAAAGTTGTGGTAAGCAAAACCTGGCAGTAGATATTTAACATTACCTTCTGTCCCTGACTCTTCCTTATGGAAAGAATAAATGGACAAAATAAGGATAATGTAATCCTAACATATAAGGGCACTGTATTTGCATATTAGGCTAGATGACACTTTTTCCACAATTGACAGTCAGATTCGTCCTTTTGATCGCTCCCTTGCCTAAATGCTGAAACAGCGCCACTCGCCTATTGACTCCATCAATGTGGCCGAAAAACGACACTGCAGCTTTCTTTACTATGGCTGTTGCCATGGCGATGAGTACCAAGCCAGAGATGTGGGGAAATGGTAAAACAATCTGATGGCCAATTAAATCACTGACAGGATAAATACTCTGTTAAACAACACAGTAGTCTGTTTCGCTATTCAGAATTCATTTGCGTTCCCTCTGAAAATAAATTAAACAATAAAAAAAGACTAGTTCATGCAAAATCCACCAGCATACTATACCTGTCTGTCTGGTACATTAAATGAAATGATAACTATAAAAGAAGTAGCATGATAAACATATAAAGCTATTGAAAAATAGCATTATATGTTTATTGTTGTTGTAAAAATGTCTGGGATTCACTATGGACCTTTATATATAGTCTATGTTATGGCCAGATCTTAGAAAAAATACAAAATTTTACTCAGGTATTTGGTCTACATAATTTTAAAAAACTGTTCAAACCAAAAAAAACCCCCCAGCACTTTTGACGAGTACTCTAAGCAACTGTATTTACAGTAATGGACCCAATCTGGCATCCAGACCACAAAATGTAGTGTGTTATATATACAGTGTATATATATATATATTAATGTGACAGATTTCAGCTGGACTGTAACAACAACAAAACTCCCCAGTACAGTAAAGTAGATAACAGATACCTGCGTGTGACTGTCCAATCCAGGTAATCTAACTCAGCCTAGATGTGGATCACCTCCCTCTAACCAGGCATATGTGCTATCTGGAGTAATAGCGGCCCTTTTGGCTCCAGTTCCAGCTCCAGTCAGCCTGCCTCAGCCCTGCGCAGTCAACCGTCAGCTGCAGCGCCACTGGGTGCGGGGATATCCCGAAGAAAAGGGAAGACAGTTCGGGGTAAGTGTGACATCTCTATCGGCGAACTCTGTTGCGTGTTTATATCACGTATATCTGCAGCCTCTCCGTGTACTATTGGCACAAGTAAAGCTGCACACGGAACAGTTTTGTTTTGTTTTGTGACAGAGACTGGCCAGAGGCCCGGTGACCCACATTCTTATCTAACGCTGCACGTTAGGCTAGCTAGCGCCAGCTAAAAGTGGGTTGACACACATACTGTAACGTTACAGACGAGTTGAACGCCCGCTACAGTACACTATAGAGTCGCTAGCAAGCGGTGAAAAACGGCTGTCTAATTTGTGACGGATAAGGGTGCCTTGGCAGTGTGTGTCATATGTCGCAGTAAGTGTGGCAAACTATTAAGCTGTTGTTTTGTTGCTGTAATTGACGCTAGCAAGCGAGCTAGGTGGCGTTAGCCATCTAGCAATCACTGCCCGGTTTGCCGGCCGGTATCATCGGCAGCAGGGAGATAGACAGATAAATGTGCTGTACCTGTTTGTCACTTAAAGGCTGGCTTTAGTTCAGGGGCTTAACATAGCTGACAGCCGTAAACATCTCACCGGTCTTTTCCACACCTATTGCCTCTATTTAAGGGTATGTCTGTTCCCCCGGTGTTAACTTAATTAACAGCTGCGTTTCTCTCCAGGCTTGTTTGTCGCGTGTCTATATTCTGCTGCTCCCCATTCAACAGATGTGAAGTCGATCACTTATCACTTGATCTATTCGTTTGCAGCTCTACCTGTTAGACTTTTTCAGAGGTGTTTAAACCACGATGTGTCTTGTCTGAGAGGTGGTTTGTACCTGGATCATGCCTATTAAGATTACATGATTAGGTATGCAGTCTGACAAGGGGCAATCTCTGAATCAGGTTCATGTTTCAAAGCTTGGATGACAACTCAGATATTATGTTTTTAAGAGCCATCAGACATGAACATGCTTTCTATGAGTAAATTAGGGGTAGTTAGGGACAACCTTCTCATACTACTTCGATACACATTTGAATGTAGATTAAATGCCCTCAAAATACACTTTAAGCAGCTTATGATTCTGTGCAATTAGATTCAGACATGTTGCAACATGATGGGACTATAACATTTACTGTTAGTTTGATGTATGAGGTGATAATGAAATATTTTCCTTCACATTTTGCAGGCTATGGTAACATCCATTTTGAGTGTCATGTGATGATAATAGAGATAAGCAATACATATAGACATATTCTAAAAAAGTCATGTTTTAATTCCCATTACATACGTATTTGCAGAATTACTAGACAACTGCTAATGGCATATTCCAGTGTCATAGCAAAAAATAAAAGTATTTTACAGTATTTCAAAGAGGCCATTGTTAAATAATAATACATTGCATGCATGTTTACACACAATAGGTGTTGAAGTTGTTAGTGGAACATGGAAAAATACTTGGACTTCTTTTTTTGTTGCTGGCACTATACAGCTGGCTGCAGGTGAGGAGAGATAACGGGGACGCTCTCTGCGAGTTCATGCTTTCTCTGACAGACGATCTACTGTCTCTTGTGTTTCACTGTTGCTTGGCCTCTTTTACACACTGCAACACGTTTATCAAGTTTTACAAGTTTATTAGGAAACCTAAATTGCATATGCATTTACAATTTATATACTGTAGTTCTGAGGAAACAGCGGACAAACTTGGCAGCAGAACACTGACAAGTTTGTTTTCTTTAAACAGAGGAGGGGGTGGGACTGACAACGTTGTAAGTCTAGGGGAGAGAGAAACACATTCAGATTACATTATTACGTGCTACGCTTAATAATGTAATTACTATACGCCTGTCATATCAGGCTTTTTCAATTTACAGAGGACCCTGTGTGTCATATTTGATTTTCTCTAGTTATGGATTAATGCAGGCAGCTTGACTCATACAGTGCACTGATAGGAAGTGATGGTACTACCAGTACTCTTGAAGAATTGATACTGATAGTCAGTATTTAGACACCTGTTAATGATGAAGTGTATGTATGTATGTATGTATGTATGTATATTATAGAGCCTCTATTGAAGATTATGTGTTTTGCCTTTGCAGCTTGGATGGAATCAAAAGTTGACTCACTGGCTGTGTAACTGTGTAAAAGGTCCTTGGGCTTAGTAAAGATAAAGTAGAGGGTTTTTATCTTGATTAGAGGATCTGACTGATGATGGGTCGTACACTTGCGGTTGTTATTGGAACCAGGTTTTGATAAGTTGCATCTCATCTGTGACCGTCTTTACTTTATGCCTTCATCTTGTAATTTGTAATATAAGCTGAAATGGTTAAAGAGTAACTTTTTTTGTTGTCCCAGCCTTTGTGTAGAAAATAAGATCAACTATATCCTTTTTATGTTATCGCCTGCAGATTTAGGAGACGGTGTGTGACTTTGTCATGACAGCCATTTAATATGCTGACTTTACCAGCAGAGCCTTGTTATGTCTGCAGAGTGACGTTTCCTGCTCACGGCCCTGCAGCAGATAGTTTGGTGCTACCACCAATATTTGGTCCACAGTCCACGACACACAATACTTAAAGCTGTTTGTTGAGCCTGTTGAGATGCATGAGTTGTTGTTGTTAGTCTGTTGAAGCTTGTTTTGAAAGACAGCTATGTACTTTAATTCTTGTCTTTAAACACTGCTGCAGAATTTAAAATGATCTGATGATGTACAATAAAATTTGTATTTACTTTGAAAGCCAGGCATCGCAGAGATGATTTGTTGCAGACTTGACTTGTAACACACCTCCACAGAATAACACCAGTAATTACACTGACCATGTTTGTTGTAATGAAGGAATATGTCACCTAGTGCACCTGCATGACCCTTTTATGCGTTTTTAATGTGTTTTTGGACAATGTATGGTATAAGCTATAATAAAAATAATAGTGGTATAAGCATTATCCTTGGAATCCATCCATGAGTGATATTGGCCAGACATAATAATGAACATTTCTAAAGTATTAAACGTATGACTGTGTAAAAGTAAATAACATTTTTGAATGAGCTCATTTTATAAATAAATACACAGACCAGACGTTCACAAGGGATTAATGATACATTTTAGTAAATTTTTTTTAGTGTTTGGCTACTTTGAGCTCCATAAAAAGAGAACATCCACTGACTGAAATCCTTTTACCACACAGGATGGTTTCTGTCAGATTGACCTTTCTCTGAGAGCTGAGGGGATTCTTCCTATCAAAGACATGGATCGGATTCACAGGTTCACCATTTCTTGGCATGGTCTAAACATACTTCATCACAAACCAAATCCTTAAGACAATGTTCCTTTACACGTGATGTAAAAGAAAACGTGATTCATCTGACCAGGCCAGTGTAGGTCACTAATAAAAGTCTGTCTGTTATTTCCCCAACTGCTGGAAAGTGAAGTCGGTTAGCGCTGGCTAACAGCTCCCTGTGCTTCAGACTCTGGTCTGGAAGCTAAGCATGAAGAGGTGGAGTCACGTTACTACACACACTGTTGTATGTTTTCAAAGGGAAAGTACATGAACACACACACTTGGGAAAATATTAATGGGATTAAATAACCGAAATAACAGACATGGGAAAATGACGTCAGTTAGAGGTTCTGAATTTCGTTTTCCAGCCCTACGTTCATGTGCCCATTGGCGCTTTCAGCAGTGGACTGGGGTCAGCATGGGCACCCTGACTGGTCTGCGGCTGCACAGCCCAATTTCTAACAAACTGTGACGCACTGTGTTGTCAGACACCTTTCTATCAGAAGCAGCATTTACCTTTTCAGTAATTTGACCTTCAGTTGTTTGTCTGTTGGATCGGACCACACTGGCCAGCCTTAGCTTCCCACGTGCATCAGGGAACCTTGGCCTTCCATGACCGTGTCGTTGGTTCACTGCTTTTCCTTTGTTGGACCACTTTTGATAGGTACTGACCACTGCAGACCGGCAACACCCCACCAGAGCTGCAGTTTTGGAGATCTGACCCAGTCATCCATCCATCACAATTTGGCCCTTGTCAAAGTTGCTCAGATCCTTACGCTTGCCCATTTTTCCTGCTACTATAACACATCAACCTTGAGGACAAACTGTTCACTTGCTGCTTAATGTATACCACCCACTGACAGGTGCCATGGTAACGAGATAATCAGTATTATTCACTTCCTCTCAGTAGTGATAATGTTGTGGCTGATTGGTGTATTTGGATGCATAGCATACACAGACACACACATGAATTCCCAACACGATCACAGGCAGGCAGTGCTGTTAACAAGGAAAACATATGAAAATTTAAGAGATTTAAACAGACTTGTGCAACAAAAATTTTTGCATTGCTGTTGAAAGTCACTGAATGGTCATAAGATGGAGCCAGTAAGGCTGACTGGGATTGGCCTTGCTTCATCTCCATTAATACTGACTTTTGACTCAAAACCACGCAACAACCTGTGGGTAGGTATAACTCATAGTACGCTAATAGGGAACAGTGTGTGGTATCTTGTTTTTTTACAATATTATCATAATTTAGGTGAAATACATATAAATATAAACAATATATGTATGTGTCTTTTTAAATATACATAAGAAAACAAAAGCAACACTTGCTCAGTGTTTTTCAGAGCGCAGTTATTTCTTGTAAAATAAAATAAAAAGTTGCCCTACATGGAGGTCGGGGCAGTAGAAATCGGATTTCACTTTGATCAAGAAAAAATGGGTCAAGTCTATTGGGTTTTCCCTAAAAAGTGATGGGGGTAGAGGTGCATCAGTGTCGTCGTTGGTAGCTCCACACTACACAAATTCCGCATTATTATAATTAATTTGTTTTTTTAACAGAAAATTAATCTAACACTCTTAATCTTAACACTTTTTTTTCTGTAAATAATTAGATTAAAAAATGATGGAAAGATTCATTGACAAAGAACATAATAGGTAGAAAGTAGCAGCTCGACATCAGTTTAAATGCTTGATTTTATGGGGTTAACAAGACTGACTAATAGACTGCTATTGAAGAGATTAGTTATTACACTTAAAATGGTCATATTATGCTCATTTTTCTCAACTCTACAAGATCTTTGTTGGGAGGTGCACATGCGCAGTTTCTAGTTAAGGACTACTAGCCAATCAAAAGCAGAGAAGGGCGAGTCGTGAGAAGCTGGTAAACACGGCTTCGGTTCAGCTGTATGTCCCCTTACCAGCTTAGCAACATCGACTGGAGGAAGAGTTTCAGAGTGATGAGTTATTAATCTGTAACAAAAGTATTTTTCATCCATCAAGTTTTAACTGAGCTCTGTCTCTACATCACAGTAACAACTGTCTGTCCTTCGACTGCCTGGAGGGTAGCTAGTGTTTGGAAGGGAGAGGGGAGGCAGCAGGCGGACGTCTCGTCACTGTGTGCTGCAGCTCAGTGTGTTTTTCCACTGGTGTTTTTGAGGGTGTGTCCGACTAGCTGCTGGCGAGCATTATGATGCGCATTTTACTGTGACGTCACAGAGAACAGAGAAGGGAAGTGGCTGGACTACAAACGAGCTGTTTTCAGGCATTTCAGAGCAGAGTTTTCTGTGGGAGATGGGAACTCTCTTTGGGGTGGACTTTGGGCTTTTTCACTTTGCAAACCTATTACATGCACAAAAAAGGTACATAACTAAAGCCAGAAAGCATAATATGACCGCTTTAATCAATTTCTCTATGTTGATATTTGAGGAATATGTACAGTATTTTGTAATAATGTGGCATGACACATTAAAATAAATGGTGCAGTATGAGGCCAGTATATCAGTAGCATAATAACACCATTTTATGTACACTGTAAGTATGATTAAATCCTTTTATCATAAAAAGGGTTAAATATAGACTGTATAAAAGAAGTGGACGTAGTCACTGTGACGTCACCCATTGGTTTATTGGCTACTGCTTTGAAGCCTCCAATTTGGCATTTTGACCTCAACATATTTTTTTTTGGGGGGGGGGGGGGTTCCCAGAAGTGATGGAGCTAGTTAGCTTGGTTAGCAAGGTGCCACGCCCTAAAACATACCTGCTTTGTCATCTATTTTACTCTAAATGGGACTATAATTAACAAAACGAACACCATGCTGTATTGAAGAAGACTTGAAACTAGCGATTGTGACCATAAACTAGGGCTGGGAAATAAAACAATAATGATACAATACAATTTTCCTCAATATCAATATAATAAATGTTAAATATATCTTCAGTAAATATTTGGTTTAATTAATTTGAATCACGAACAAATTAGCACATACATTTTCTATTAAAATATTTGTTTTGTTTAGGAAAAGGGATGGAAAAAAGTTTAACTGATCATATTTGTAAATTTTTTTTTATCATAATAGTTATGAATGTTCTCCCTCAGATTTGTTGAGTGATCCGCTGTTTGGTATCAAGTGTTTGTCCCATTCTGACCATAAAGAAAAGTTGAACCACAGAATTATCCATCTGGTTTCTTAAATTTTCAGTCAGGAGCAAAAATCAGTCTGTAAACTTGAAAGAACTAATGATTTGACATTTATCGTGATAATTATTGATCGAATGATATGAATGTTTTTATCGCCCAGCCCTAACATAAACCGATTAGTAAATTGTTTGCTTAGGTAATAAATCAAGTGGAAAGTAGGGTCATTTTGTCATTGACTACAATGCTCTCAGACTCCTTTTTGCAACCAGTAGAGCTGGCCATTAGAAAGAATGCAGGTTTAAGGCACTTCCGCATTGGTTTCACTTTTTAACTCTGATTATAAAGTATCCAAAGACACACTCACTTGCACACTCAAACACGGCACCAGTTTTTTACAATAATGACACAAAGTAACACGTTACACAAAAACAGTTTAAATGAATGCACTACTAAGAGAAAATGCCTATGTTTAAATTGCCTGGAAGTAAACCACCTTCCCAGTGAATGAATCCAGAGATGTGTGTGTGTGCGTGTTCAGAGCGGTCTCTTATTTCTGCAGTGCTGTGGGAGGCTCACGATGACCCAGATGTTTTAGTTCTGATTCAGTAATGTGAGTTTATTAGTTCCAAGCTCCTTATTTGTAAATGTTGCTTTTCTCTTCCTGTTCAACAGGTGAAGAAGAGAGTGAAGACAAGAGTTTACTACAGAGTCATCCATCATGAAGTGAAGCCATTACTTAATTAACCATCAATGGTAAGACATCATGGACTTCACCTGCTGGATTTTGATCTTGGTTGCTGCAGTGGACTGTGTTAGATTGGGAGATGGGCAGTCTTGGCTAATTAGGTCTTTTGAAGCCTAATTCATTAGGAGCTATTAGGGGGACATTATTCATCCATGTTTCACTAATGTTCTATTTTGCAGTTGTTTCTCCTAAATATAATACATAAATAATGCACATGGAATTGAAATGGTGTGAAATGCAAAAAAATGAAGTTAGTGAAATTATGAATAATGAAATTAGTATTTTTTGACTGCATTGTATATATTGCTGTGTCTTTGCTAGCTGTGTGTGTGTGTGTGTGTGTGTGTGTGTGTGTGTGTGTGTGTGGGGGGGGGGGGGCTTGTTTGCATTTATCTTTGCTTTTATATTACTGTATATTGTCTGCTACGTAGCAGAAGGGAATTACAAACTCCGTTTCACTGTACAACCTGTTGTAATGTGAGAAAAAAATCTACCTTGTATCTAAGTCCAAAGGTTTAGCTAAAATAAGGCTAGCCCTGGATCACTTAAGATGTTTAAATATATCTTTTTCTAGCCAAAACCTAAACTAAACTTATTTTTTTCATAATCTTGACATGGGAGTTAAACATGCCTCTTGTTGATTCTTGTCAAAACATGGTGTCTACATTACCCACAATGCACCGTGACTGCTGACAATTTAGTTTGTAGCTTGGGTTTGTATGCTAGTGGCGGCTAATGTAACCTTTTGAGGTGCTAGCCTCAAGTAGAGAGGAGGAGTGGCATACAGAGGAGCTCATTTCTTTCTAACTCCACACCCTCATGATCTTTTTAGTAATCTTCAGCCCGAACTTATGCTGATACAAGTGACATCACTCAAGGCAATTTATCAGACTTTCTAAAGCTCCCTTTGGAGCACAAAAGACTTTATACACCAGTAATACTCCCTTAGACCTGTAAACAAGCTTTTGTGTAAAATGGGTGGAGTTCCCATTTAAAATAATGGATTTATGGCTTATACACATGTCTCTGTAATGAAAAGGTTTGTTGAACCATGACAGGACCATTGTAGTGAGAGCCGCAGTCCTCGGAAAATACTCAGCCTCTGGCACGCAAGACTAGGCTTTGCATATGTATTGAGTGACTGTTTACTGCAACATGTTGCTAGTGTCTTGTTATCTTACCTTTGGTGTGAAAGGACAGGTCATTTAAACGTCAAACCAATTTCCAGCTATTCTTACAAAGGAGTCTTTCATGAGTCGTACTTGCAGCTTGAAAATTATTTTAAAGTACGGCATTCAAAGCTGTATTTTGCCATGACAAAGAGAGAGTTGTTCAACAGACAATGCTGCAGTGAAACGCCAGACTGAAGATAATGCATGATATTTCATGAAAAGTAATTTGGGGTTCTTTTCAAACATAATGCTATTACTATGGGTGTAACTAACAAAGGTTTTCGTTATTGTTTTACAACAATAAAATGTTTAGTCTGCAAAACGTCAACACTGACGATTGGCCATCACGGTTTCTCAGAACCCAAGGAGACGTCTTACAATGAAGACAAAGCATCAAATCCTTACATGTAAGAAGCTAGAATCAGCGGCTTTAAATGATTTATCAGTTGACTAATTGATTAATTGACTCATTGTTTTAGCAATAATACCAACAAGTAGAAGCATTTACTACATTGCATGTCTAAATGTGAGCCTATCAGATCCTGTATCCTGGAATTCTGCGTGATGAATCATGTTTAATTTAAGATCGTGCTGCGGCAGACTATGGAGGGGCTCTCTTTATCTGAGATTAACTGTACTCAATAAAGTGTGATTTTGGCCAGGAAAAGTAGGCTGGGCGTGCCTTGACACATTAATCTGTAGAGTATCATATAATGTGGTGCAAAGTCTTCTGGGAAAGGACAGGGCCATATGATCACATAGAGCAAAGTCATCAGTTATTTATGTGTCTAATGGTTTAACTTGGATAGAGCACTGCTTCAGTATATTGTGGGACCTAAATGTTGATTCTTGTTTGAGTGGTTAGCTGGTTAGCATATTTTAGCGTTCATATAGCAGATAAAGTGTTGGCGACCGCATGTCGGTTGCATATTTTGATTAGGGCTATAGGTCCATAGTCATGATTGCTTCTCTTTTGCTGCCAGTCGTCCTTCTGAACTTCGGTGACCCACTTGGCATAGGCATGAGGCCCCTGGCTGAGTTCCTGCTCCGCTGGGATGGGAGGCCAGCAGCAGTTGAGGGGCCCCTGCCAACCACTGCTGCTTGCCTCTCAAACATTCCTGTCTGTGGGCTGTGGAGAGAAAATGCAAAACAAAGACTCTTTTTGTGCAGCAGGGCCTGTGGATGTGTGTGCACTGAGTGGAAACACAGCTGGCTGCCCAGCGTTGAGGGTTTGTGCAGCAGTATGGTGGGTAGTGTTGATAAGCTTGTGTTGAGGATTTTACTGCTTACAGGCCAAATGACCATGACATTATTAAAACCGTCACGAGGGTCTTTGCCTGTAAACTGAGGGAAGAACATATTTGATTGCTATGTGGATGCGTCCAGGGTGTGCAGGCCTTGATGCTGCCTCTGACAGGATGTGTGACTGAGTAAAGTATTCGTTGATGTGTTTCTGTTGATTTGTGTGACCTCCTTGGCAATGAGTCTTGCTTGCCGGCTGTTAAAACTGCATAACATTATCCTATATATTTCCCAACATGTGGACCACAATAAGAAAGAACACCCACCTCCTTGTTACTGCTGCTAACCTGAGTACCATGTCTGATTTGTTGTGGACTGTACAGTATACAGAGGGATGGCTTCCAGTGAGTTTTACATTTTAAATGGTGTTTCTACAAATCTTGTTAAAGCTGTGGTGTGTGTTGTGACACCTGGGATCGCTGAGGGTTCACAAATCCCCTGCTCTCGGGTGTCAGGATGTGACGTGGATGATGAAGAAAACACAAGGGTTGCTATGTTACCGGAGTTTACCTAGTCATGTGATACAAGACCTACTAGACAGTACTGTCTGCAGACAGGGTTTAAAGTTCCAGAAAAATATCTCTTTTTGAAAGATTTAACAATAATTTGAAGTCTTTTAGGGAATTTAAACAGCAGAGATAAAAATGATCACTTGATCAATATCAATTTTATTTATATAGCACACTTAAAACAACCAAGGTTGACCAAAGTGCTTCACAGATTAAAATACAACAACAAGACACTACTTACACAGTAAAAGTACAGCAATAAAACATTTTAATATACAGTATACGATATATAGTGATATTAAAATTGCCAGGAATTTTTACAGACTTAACTTGAAGAAAATGCCAAAGAAAAGAGATATGTTTTTAACAGTGATTTAAAATGTTCGAGAGTTGGGGCGGTTCTGATATGGACTGGCAGGTTGTTACACAGGTTAGGGGCAGCTACACTAAAGGCTCGATCGCCTCTGGTTTTAAATCTGCTTCTGGGTACATCCACGAGGAGGAGATGGGTGGATCTCAGCACTCTAGCTGCAGTATGAACGTGAAGAAGCTCCGATAAGTACAATGGAGCCAATCCATTAAGGCATTTAAAAGTTAAAAGTAAGATTTTAAAATTAATCCTGTAATGAACAGGAAGCCAGTGGAGGGAGCGCAACACAGGTGTGATGTGGTCCCTCTTCTTCTTTCCTGTCAGGAGGCAGGCAGCAGAATTTTGGACTAACTGCAGGCGCTGAATAGATGACTTGTCTAAGACCACAGATAAGGAGTTGCAATAGTCAAGGTGGAAAGTTAAAAAGGAAGTAATCACCCTCTCCAAATCTTTAGGAGGGAGATTTTAGAGAGCCTTTACCTTGGCTATAGTTCTCAACTGGAAAAAGCAGGATCTAACAGCGGCGGATATCTGTTCAACACCAAGACTCCTCACAGTTGAGCGGTTATTTGAAGTTAAAGGGCCGAGAGAATCTACATCAAACAGTTCAGGGTGTCCAAACACTATGATCTCTGTTTTGTCTCCATTTAGGTTGAGGAAGTTTAGGTTCATCCACCACCAGATGACTAGTTTTATTAGGTTTATTTCTAGTTCTAGTAGTTATTAGTTATTTCTTATTTCCCCATTTTAATTCTACTTCATTCTCCACCTTAATTTTATGTTTACTCACTACTTGAATCTGCTCCGTCAATGTCCGCTAAAGTTCTTGTTTTTGCTGCTGACAAGCTCAGATTGTTATGGACCTTTTCTGAAAGAGTAAAATTCTTTTTGTTTAACCAACAGTCAAAAACAGTTGGCTAATTTCTGTAGAATAATCCGTACAAACGTTAATCCCGGCCCTAACGACAAGTAGAATTTGAGGTTGTTTGCCTTTGAAGTCTTATTTCCATCAATGTTTTTTATTTGCATTTTTGTATCGCTTTAGAAAAGGTTGAGCAAATTTGAAAAAAAAAAAAATCTGATCTAACTACACTTTGTGTAGCCCGCTGTAAACCAGTTGATGGAAACTAATTCGCGTTTTTATTTTTGTTTTATTTTTTTGCAACATTTCAAAAGTTTGTTTAAGATTTGCTTGGCAATCAGATGGAAACATAGCTAGAGACTAACTAACTAATGAAACTTGGTCAACTAAGACCACTCACATCTAACGGTTTAGTCGACTATTAGGGTGCAGCCTAGGTAAGGAACTGAACGTTTATATATTAGTCAGTAGCATTTTTTCCCCCCAGGAAGATTAGTGAAAGATACCTGGATATTTCCCCGATGCTTGTTGCAGTCCTAATCACACTACCACATAATATTACAACTGAAAAGAAATGTACTGTTGAATTATGTGTCAGTCGTATAGTAATGTTTGGTACGCAGGTGACCAATAGTGCAAATCTCATTTCAAACAATGAATCATATTCATATGTTTGTGTTAGCAAAGCTTGATTTGGTAGCATTTTGCATAAAAAGGATGCATCCTGATATAGAAATGACTAAATATGTAAAAACAAGCTGTTTGAGGCTTTAGCATGCCTCTGGGTTGAGGA